TACTGAGAATTGAACCCAGGGTCTTCACGGTGAACTAAATCCCCAGCCATTCATTTATAAACTTTAAATTAGAGTCTCGCTAAGTTGTTAAGTTGCCCAGGCGAGGCACAAACTTGTAATCCTTCTGCTCGGCCTCCAGAGTACTAGGATTACAGGCATGTGCCACTATACTCATCTTAGATTTTGGTACAGAAAGAGAGAAGGAGAGAGAGACAGAGACAGTGAGACAGAGAGAGTGTCTTAGACTGTGCTCTATATCACACCGCTTAGGATTTAAAGCATTGTCTCAAGTATCACTGAGTTGGTTTAATATCATTGTAAGGTCTGCAACAACTGTAACCATGATATGCCTCTGAGCTAACAGGTGCTATTAACCTAAAATTACTTTGAAGAGTAAATAGTCCTTGGATGGAGAGATGAATGGAATAAGAAGACCAATCAGGTCTAGTGGCACTGTTCTTCCAGGGCTTCTTCCAAAGCTGTGGCCTCCCATGACTCGGGACTCACAGTGACAGCCAGGTCACCACATTCATTAGAATCTTCTGCTTCCTCTTGCATTGATGCAGTGGTATCTGTTTGGGGTGGGTGAATAGTCCAAAGTTATCTGTCTCTGGCTTTAAGTTGACCTGTCTTGCTTTTGTTTCAGTATGTTAAGTTTCAGCCTGCATCTAGGACCTCTGAGAGCTGAGATTTTAAAAAAGAGCAAAAGAAAAAAGCAAGGTGTCAGAGATAATCTTTCTAAAACAGGTTCAAAGGACCAGGGATATAACTCAGCAGTATAAGCACCTGCCTGGCAAGCACAGGGTCCTGAATTTGATTCCCAGTACCAAAAAGAAAAAAAAAATGGGTTCAAAACTGAGCAGGAAGTGGTAAGACGGGGGTTGGAGCTGTGATAGTAATGATTGTTAGCACAGTAATCATAGCCTTCCTCCAAGAGACGAATTTCTGTCTTATAGATATTTTGTTAACTTTTCAATGTGGTTTGGTTAGTGGTAGTACAGAAAGCTGTCTTTCTTAACATGCATGATTCACATAATCATCTATATACAAGATCCTAAAGTAACGCGCCCCCCCCCACAATAAATAAGTGGATTTGGCAAAGTCTCAGGATGTATGGTCAATATACAGAAACTGTATTTGTTGAAATGAGTTTAAGAAGTCTGACTTTAGTTTAATATTGGATTACAGGAATTTTTATAAATAAGAACTCGAGTATTAAAATATGAAATATAAGATATTTTGCTCTTCAATGCATTATAAAGGACATAGCTCTTTCATACAAATATGCACTGCAGTTCCTCTTTCCTTTCCTATATAATTTGAGAATTGTGCTTTTTAATAGCAGCTCGCTAATCCCTTTAAATAGCTCTTAATATAAGCATTCCATAGTTTTCATTAACCATGAATTCCAGCCCTTCTTTTTTAAGGCTCAGTTCAACAACCATATCTGAGTCTTCGTCTCATCATCACCCTTTTAGCCTGGCTGGGGAAGCAGCCAGCCTACTGTAAACCCTGAGTGGGGTGCTATGGATGAGAGTCTAAGACTTTAATTATATGTCATTTGATTCACAACACTCAATTCCAGGAAGGCAAAATGACTCTGTTGTTGTAAAAGACATATTATGTGAGTATCATTCATTGTAAACCCAAAATGATACTGTATTATAGCAGAGGCAACAATGAGAACTGATTCTGAAAATGTGACCTGTCTGAAAAACGGCATAATACTGAAAGTTATCAAAATGGAAAGAAGTGTTAATGTGAAATCCAGCCTTCTCAGAAATACTCTTTCCTGGCCTGTTTGGTTTTGCTTTTGTTGCTTGTCATGCATGAATGAAAGTGCTATTCTCTCAGGGGAGCAGGAAAGCCTCTGTGTCGGTTGTTTATTTCCTTAATCCCTCCTCCTTTGTGATTTTTGATGTCAGATCTAAAATGGAAAGCCTGTAAATATAATGATTATCACATGGATAATCACCTGCATTAGGAACCGCCCTGCTTCTCTGTTCTAACCTTAGCTCTTCTCCACATGTCACATCCACTCTGCGGTGGGATTTTAACCTGACTGCTTCATTAGATTTGTGAAACTCGGGTACGAGGCGCCCTGGGGCAGCACAGATGGGGACTTGCTTGTTTTCTTTTCTCACTTTTCCTGCGATGGCACACTAAAAAGTCCTTTTCAATTTAGTATGATCAGTTCGCTGGGAATTAACCCTGGTATTCGGAACCTGCCTCCTCTTCTGCCCACCGTCTCCGCCCATTCTTTCTTCTCCGTTTCCTGACATAATGCCTTTTCTTTCTGTGGCTTCACGCAGTGCATCTGAGAACTAAAATTCTGCTTAGAATTCTTACTGGGTCAAACTGTTCCCCTGTGTTATTTTATTTGTTTTGTTGAAGGAAAAAAATAAATGTTGTTCCATCATTGTAGCTACAAACACTTTCAGATCAGAGGTTAGCTGTGGGAAAGTCTGCAGTCATGTGAGCCAGCTGCCGCCTCTAATGGAGTGACTTGGGGCAGCAGCCCAAGATCAAAGGAAGGTGGGAGGAAGTCAGAAGATAAGATCATTCTAAGCCACAGAACAAGTGCTTAGCTTTTTACTGATAGGGCACAGAGCCGCAAACCTGTGTGAGGGGGCACTAAGACAGAAAATTGACTTGACTTTTCTTTAAGTATACGCTTCCTCAGCCAGAAATATGTCAGTGCTTGGAATTATTTACACATGTGAAAATGCTCTAGGGCCTGGTTTCCTTATAGAACGATTATCTGACATTTAATGTATCTTGCACTTAGTTCTACTATACCCTGCCAGCTTATAGTTAATATTTTAGGGTTATGTGAATACAACGAGATATTAAAAAACAATTTAATCTCAATATATGAGTATTTGGTTTTTATCACTGATTTTCGTCCTAGAGATTCTTCATTTTAACTGTCTGTAGTCCTCAGGGTTTCTTTCATGGCTCTGATGAAGTTCCATATCAATAAATAGTTCTAGCCGACCTTCCCAGACGTCTTTTTATATAGGAATTAGTTTGGTTAATTATGACAGCTTAGGAAACACTGCATTGATATCTTTTGAACCTTTTCCTTGATATCCTAGCCAGAAAATGTTATTGACTTTTGATGTACAAAGTTCTGTTTTAAGGAAATTGTCAAGAGGCTAACCTTGCGTGTTAAGATCGTAATTTGACATTTTTTTCAGTCTCCATCAGCTGAGGCTAACTTGGTCAGCCTGTGTTTCTCTTGTGCATAGCCTAAGGAGTTGTACTTTCAGCTTATCACTGCCGGTTAACTTCAGTGTTGAGCTGTAGTTATGCATTGTGACCTTTCCAAACCCACAAACTGATTCTCTTAAGTCGAGAGGTGATTGGTGTGTTGGACCGTCTAAGTGCACGCGTACAGATTTCTTCCTCCATGTTTTCCACACTGTGTAGGTAGTTCCCAGATTGGTGCTGGAGACACTGACTGTACTTTCTGCCTTACATGGTTTGGTGCAGCAGTCATTTTAGTTGAGTTGGATCTGCTCACTACTCAGGCTCAAATCCCATCCTTCTATTAATATCTCTTGGCAAAGATAATTTGGGAGGAATGTAAGTTAAGATGTAGAGGCTCTTGACAGTTGTCTGCAATTTTTTTTCACTTTCAAGAGGGAAGAAGAGTTGAAAAATAATATTGCTTCCATTTTTTATCAGTCCCTAAAATTAAAATATATGCACAATCTGATAGTAAGAAGAAAGAGATTTGATTATAAGATTTTATTTGTTTGTTTGTTTGCTTGATAACCTGTTAGAAAGGCACTGGGTATATAATAGTGTTCAACACATTATACACTTAAGATATTTAAAATATAGAAGAACTTCTGTATTACAGTGCTTAAACCGTTTCTTAAATGTTCAATTTTTTTTTTCTTTTTACCTTCTTGCCATATAAAAAGGGAAATTGGGGGTTTGGAAACTATTATGAAAGTTTTCAAATAGACAAAATAGTGGAGATACTGAACCCCCATGTACCATATGCATATTTAGATCTCATGATTTATATTTTGCCAATTTTGCCTCACTTCATTTTTTTTTTCCAAAGTTTTCTAAAGTAGCTTATGTAGTTCATGGCATTTTATCCCTAAATTCTTCGGGGCATATCTCCAAAAACTAAGGGCATTTTGTGAGACAAGAGCTAAATAAGTTGCCCAGGCTGAACTTGAACTTGCAGTCCTCTTGTCTTAGCCTCCCAGTTAGCTGGGATGGTAAGCATGTACTACGACACCTGACTGGAACTACGGTTTTGATTAATTCATGTTGAATGTTTCTGTCTGGATACTGTGTAAGTGATGCTGTGAACCTTACTGCATTTTGATGATCCTGCTATTAGCAGTGATAAGTAATGGGACCCATCTCGGGGCTACAGTGATGACAACTTGATCTCTCCATTGTATGTTACGCTTTGCTCCCTGTGACCAGCATATAATCTGTGATTCTTCGATTTTGTGGAAAGACCCAGTGCCCCATCACCCTCTCACCCAATGAATTTAACACCCGTTAATGATCCTCGTCTGTATAAATTTGATCTTCAGAAGTGTAAAATGGTGATTTTTTTCTGAGTCTATACATTCTATGCAGATATACTATTCTACAGTAGAGTTTTCTGAGAGGCACTGTTTTAATTAAAAATATAACCACAAGCAAGTTCCTTAGGTTTCAAATAATTGTCTTTTCTTTGGTGAGGTCAGAACACCTGAACTTACTGTGGCATCTACAGTAAAAATATGCACTACATCTTCTTTATTCCAACTTGTGAAGTGTGTTGACATTATGCTGCCTTTTTTTTAATGCCAAGGGAAAAAAAAGAAATCTTTTTTGGTGTAAGAATAAAACTGAACTCTGTGGGTATATTGAGATAATTGTGTAAAAAGAAGACTGTTTGAATGAGTTTCAAAATGGATTATTTCTTCATTACCTAGCACTTTGTAATTAACTGTTCTTTTTTTTTTTTTTTTTTTTTTCAGGAAGCTGCCACTTTTGCTAGAGAGCAAGGCTTTGAGGTGAGTTAACCCACAATTGCACACTAAACAGATTCTAAAGGTTTTTTCTAGCTGATAATGAAGTTCTTTTGGACAGTGATTGATGTGCTATTATACTCTCAGAGCCTCGCAGCAGTTGCCATGGAAACTTGGCAGTCGTCATGGTTTCTTTGTTCTGCCAGCACAGTGTTATGACGCACTCTGCTAGGTCTGCACCCAACATCGCCTACAGATGTTATTTATTGAATTTTGAAAAGCCTCTTGGGAAGCCAAGAGGTTGGGCACGGTTTCAAGCTGCCTCTGCAGATATGGGGCCTGTCAGTTTGTTCAGTTAAAAAGCTACCTCATTAGCTGCATTACATTTCATAAGGATTCACTGGTAAAGTAGTGGTGGAGCAAGACTAAATAGTGAAATATAATGTCGCTGAAATAATTTCAACCCTATCACATGTAGATTATCATTATGCAAATTAATTTCCAAAAGGTTGTACTTAACAATTGTTAGGAACCGATTAATTTAAATCCTGCTCATATGAACTTCCTGTTTGAGTCTTTTTTTTCCTTTTCTCTCTTGCTCTTTTTTTTAGATATTATTTGTTTTTTTCCTGAAACAAAAAATAGATAATTGGTTTTAATTTCCAGGTCTTGATTCTGTTTTCTTGACAGAGTCATTATCATGTCATGATTTAATACTCCACGTGGTTGTTGGCAAAATTAAGATAGCAGTCAAGACCATGTTTTTATATCCATAATATCTATCTTCCAATTGATTGTTAGGAAACACCAACTTCAATATGAACCCAGGTTAATTGACAGAGAATTAACTGAGTTTGTGAGTCTTTTATGAGTATATTTGTAGAGCCAAAACTGTGCAGAATGCTTTGTCCTATATAGTAACTTGAAATACTATATGACAGTAATTTTTAAAAATTTAATATGACTAGAGCTGGAATAGAGGGACTTTCTTATCTGCATACTCAGCATTGTCTGCACTTAGAAAAGCTGTGATCATTGATTGGGTAATACTAGCAAGCTTACTCTGAACCCCTTAAGGAAAAGATGAATTTGTGATGAAGCTGTTACTTAAATGTAGTAAAGGCATGTTCATTATTGAGCAACAAAGAGGAGTGTTTTGTCCACGTCATAAGACTTGATAAGCCAAAGAATGCAGCAGCTTCTCAGAGGAAGACAATGAGCGTGTGCTTGTAAATGTTCTCTCAAGAGCTTATGAAAGGTCTATTTCAGTGTAGAAAAACACCGCATGAATGCTCAGTTTTTAGAAACTATAGTTTCTTAGGGGTTGCTTTTTTCTTTTTTAAACATTCTAGTGAATATAGAGTTAAATTAGTTACATAGAAAAATAATTTATGGGGGCTGGGGATTTAGCTCAGCGGCATAAGCGCTTGCCTTGCAAGCAGGCAGTCGTGAGTTCGATCCCTGGTACCGGTAAAAAGGGAAAAGACAAAAAAAAATTAAAAAAAAAAAGAAAAATAATTTACTAGAGTTAAGGCTTGTTTGTTTATCTTATTTAAGTTTTACTTTGTAACTTCCCAAACGGACAATTGATATATAGGTTAACATGTAATCAAGGTTGTGTTCAATATAAAAAGGAAAATATTTTAAGCAATTAGACAGGCATCACGGTCGATGCCTATAATCTCTCACAGTTGGGAGGCTGAGGCAGAAGGATCACTATGAGTTTAAGGCCAGCCTAGACTATGTAATGCATTCAAGGTCATTATTTAGTGAATTCCTATATTAACTACATAGGGGAAAAAATGTAAATGCCACAATATATATATGCATGTGTATATGTTTTCAATACATTTAAAGTTATACTTCTGTTGTTTTTCTATTAAAAGTACTCTGTTGAGGGACCCGGGGATATAGTTCAGCAGCACAAGCGCCTGCCTGGCAAGCTTGAGGTCATGAGTTAGATGAAAAAAAAAAAAAAAGATAAAAGTATTCTATTGATACACCAGAATTGTCACAGATAAAAATTTATGGAACATAAATTTGTATATCATCTATTTACTATGTTACCACAACAAATGTATTTTGGATCTACAGAATAACCAGTTTTATAGATATACAGAAATGTAACATGTGTCATAACAAATGCCTTCAGTCATAGAGTACCTACATAATAATTTTTTAAAATAATTTAGTAAGCCTAACTACTTCACACTTGAACAACCCTCTCATTCTGAATATGCCAGGTTTACTTTGAGTCTTAGCAACAAACTATTTTTTACATTTTCTACTAACTATTAGCCTTCCTATTGGTTCTTATTTGCTGGTTTCAGAATTGTTTCTTTTTGCCATAAATCTGCCATAATTGATTACAGCATATAAGCAAAGTGATGATGATTATAATCCCGTACCTTATTACCTCCTGACATAGCAAAACTGCTCTGCCAGTGATGTTGACAGTGATATGTTGAATTGGATAAGGCACAGTGTCTTAATGTGTCCCTTTACAGGTTCCCAAAAACATTACAGGCATCGCAGAATATATAGGAGCCATGAGTAAAATGGCCTCAAGTAAGCATCGTTAACAAAATACAATCCATGTACAAAGCACCATCTAAAGAAATTTGGTGATTTTATAATGTCATCAAAGTTTCCGTAGTTCATTAGACAGACATATGAAGGCATGAGTTTGCAACTTTTCGTAAGGAGTATACTGCACAGGAATAAATCACTTTATCAGTCTTCTGTCTGTGGAAGTATATTAATGCTCTCAAGTCTAAGGTGACAAAATTAGACAAAAATCTGTATTTTATGTCTTCTAACCTTAATGTTGCCTCCAAATTTGAAACAAGACTAAGAAAAGCAAGTGAACAGATTAAAAGAAAGGCGAGGTATTTTCTACCATCCCGCCAGCATTGCTGCCCTGCCTTCGTTTCCTGTTATAAATCCCAATCAGTTCCCAAAGCCATTGAGTGTTGCCACTAGTGATCTGTCTGCTGACAGACCAATCCAGTGCTTCTAAAATTAACCAGTGTTTATTCGTCAGGAAGTGTCCTCAGTGGCATTGTTTATAATATGCTGGTTAGCGCCTCTGCAAATTTTAGATAATCTTTATTTTTTAAAAAAGATATCTTTAATCTTTAAAATGAATTGGATAATTTTCAGTGAGAAGCAGCAGCTTAGGAGGGCACTGGAAAATGAGATAAAACTGGAGCTGGGCAGAGCGCAAAGCAGAGGAGAAAGGATATATATATATATATATATATATATATATATATATATATATGATGGGAAATTGCAGAGTGCCTGATTTAAATGACAGACCTGCTAAGAATTTAAAATGACAATTCTTGAGGTAAAAAGTTTCACAAGACCTTTCATTATTCTCGAAAATCAGTTCAGGCTGCAGTGTGTTTTTAAAGATACCTTATCTTGAGCTGGACCAATTAAAGTTTGTATTTTTAGAACCTAAATAAAAATATTTTAAAAACATGCTTCATTCTGAAGACTTTAAAAGTATCAGAAATTGATTTAAATTAAATAAAGTGAAGGAAATACCTCCAAAACCTAAATATAGACATTCATTGTCTCTCCAACAGAGAATATGCCAGCGGATGAAGGGAATTTATACTCTGAATTGGAGCCTTTATTCAGCATTATTTCAAGCAAGAAATTTAAATATTCCTGTAGTTCTGTAAGGTATAATCCTCCTGTTCGTAGAGGAAACAAAGCAATCATTTTCCCTCTCCCTACTTCTCCCACACCTCTGACTCCTCAGAGGATCAGGCTGTAGTTTCTCTCTGGTGACAAGGACTCTGTGCTGTCCTAGCCATGTGTGGCTATTTAACCCAGACTACTTGAAATTACATGAAATGCCCAGCTCAGATATGGAGGCAGTGGCGTTGGTTTGTAGCCCTGCCTGATCAGGAAGTTGAGTCAGGAGGGTCACTTGAATGTAGGAGTTTGAGACCAGTCTTGGCAACATAGTAAAAGAGTCCAATAAATAAATAAATAAAGTGAAATCCAGTTCCTAGGGTGACCCTGGCAGGTCTCCAGGGCTCTGTAGCCTTAGTGGGTAGTGACTCTTCTATTGGCCAGTACAGGTATAGAACATACGGTCCCAGAAAGTGTCCTTAATCAGCACCGGAAAGGCAGTCTATGGAGAATATTCAGGAAATGCTGATATCCAAAGAATTCTACAGTGATTGTAAGGTACCTTTGTTCTTCACAAATATAAACATTATAATAAATGATCATCCAAAGGTTTTGAAAATAAATCAGTAAGTCAGGTCCTGCTGGCTAAGAGTGTGCTGCTGCCTTCGTTGTGTGACTGGAACCCAAAAGGGACAGATTTTAAATACTGATTAACAGATGAGAGAGTCTTCTAGTTATCTTTATGTAGTTGCATATTACAGATATTTACTGAGCACTTACTATGTGCTGAACACATTCCCGGATACCCTGAAACAGTAACGTTGAGATAACCAGAGAGTGAGTTGTTAAAGAGAAAACAGAAAGCCTTCCTGTTTTATATACAATGGCCGTGGAATGACTCTCTGGGACACAAGGTCTGAAAAATAACTATTACCATCTAGCAGTGACACAAAAGTGCCAGTCAAACAGAGAGAGCAAGAATGCAAAGCCCTCCAAACAAGAAAGCTCAGTGTACTGTGAGCTCCAGGACTGACGGTGTGAGTGGCTTGGATTGAGGGAGGAGGACGGTTGCAGGGCTGGTGGCTGACCCTTCCTGTGAGCACCACAGCTACCATAGGAGCATCTGTTGGGAAAACAGAAGACGGTAGGCACCACACTGGAATTCTGTAGAAGGAGGTAGATTGTGACAGAATTGTTCAACATTTGTATCATCAGCTTGTTAAAAACGAATGAAGAGAATGTATTTTTTTAATCTGGAAGACAATGCTAAATTGAAGGTATGTGTCTCCAGTGAGAATAAAGGCACAATTTTACATGTATAAAATGCTCTTGAGTTTACAAAACCTTTCCCAACATATTATGAATATTTTCTGTACTCATACAAGCCTAGAGAGGTAGCTAGGGCACGCGTTGCCAAACCAGTTCAACAGATAATAAATGGGCCCTCTGACGTGTACGTGCTCATGGCTCACTGATACTGGTGGCAGAACAGAGGTCAGCTCCACAAGTCTCATACTCATTAGTGTAAACCACACTGCTTTCTCTCTGACATGTGGAAGAGGAGATCAGACTTCAAAACAAAGTTGGAAAGTAAAAAAATATCTTGAAACTCAAAATTGGTGGTGAAATACAAGCCAAAATAATTAGGGAAAAATAGCAAACTAGAGTAAAGATCAGGAATGGCCTATGAATGTAGTTAAAGTGATTCAGGATGAACATTCAGAGTCGTGTGGTGATAGCGAGAGGCACATTGCCAGGATTATGAAGCAGTACAGTCTGTGGACGGCTTGAAGAAGACTGGATGAGAGCGCTATGGTCGCCTTAGTCAGCCTGGGATGCCAGTCCTGGCTCCACGACTTAATATTGGTGGCATTAAGCAAATTAGTAACCTTATAACTCAAAAGTTTCTTGACCTATAAAGTGCTCTTTCTAGAAACTTTGGGGCGACACTAGGAATTGGCAGTATAGGGAATATTAGAATAAGTCATTAATAGGGAAGAAGTTTATATTTATTTACTAAGTTCTTAGCATGCTCTACGTGCTACATTACCTTCACTTACTTTAGTCCATTTAATAACTTTAGTCTTAGAAAAATTGCCAAAAGAGGATAGACTTCCTACACACCCCTCATCTACCTTTCCCTAACATGAACATCTCAATTCAGTGCCAAAATCTGAACTGCAGGTTTTGTTCTGATTTCTCCATTTTTCCCTCTAATTTCCTTGTTCCATTCCAGACTCTATCCAAGCTCAGATCGCACACTGCGTTTCTCTGACCTCTCTTCTGTTTTGTGATACACTCGCTCTCTCCTGGTGTTCATGACCTTGATAGTTTTGTAAAATCCTTGCCGGCCATTCTGTAGAACATCCCTCAGATTCAATTTCGCTGATGTTTTCTCATAGTTAACAATTAAGTGGCACATTTGGGCAGAAACTTCCCCCAAATGATGTTCCCTTCTCAGTGCATTATGTCAGGGGGTTGAACAGTGTCACTGTCTTACTGCATGGCAGTGCTTGACTTGGTCAGTGAGTTGAGGAGGTATTTACTGGGCTATCGTCTAGGAAATGCAGACTTTCCCACTGTAGTGAATAAATATTTTGGAGGCGATTCTTTAGGGCTATGCTAAAATCCTATTTTGTCTACTAATGTTGGCATCACTAAAATGATTACTGGTTAAGGTGACTGTCATAGTCACTTTGCCCACTGCTGAAGCCAAATCCCTAATACCCACAGTTAAGGAAGGAAAGGTTTACTTAGCTCGCCGTCTGTAGAGGTTTCAGTCCATATATGGCTGGCTCCAAGGAAGGGTGACTTGGCAGAGGGGCATCCCAGTGGAGACACAGTTCATAGCAGGCAGAAGCAAAAGCAACCAAGTAAGGGATCTTTGTACTCTTTTTTTGCCCCTTTTATACCCTGTCTAGGTACAGGGAATAGGGTGGTACCAAACTAGTCAGTGGACTGATTTAGTAATCACACACCCCTAGTCACAGCATGGCGCCACAAATTGGTCACACACTATAGTTCCAGCCACCTCTGAAAAAACCCCACCTGTGTCTGCATGAGGCTTTGGGTGACATCTAAACAGAGCCATAAGATTGATGTCTGTCAGTTTTCTCCACTCTAGCATTTTGTTTTGTAATGAATAGATATCTTTTGTTGTTGTTCTTGTTGTTGTCAGTTGTTTCTTTCAAACAGGTTCTTGCTCTGTAGTTTAGGCTGGCCTTGAACTCACTGTGTGACTCAGGCTGACCCAGAATTTGCAGTAATCCTCCTGCCACAGCCTCCTGAGTGCTGAGATTATAGGCTCACCCTCATCCATAAATATCTTTTTTTAATTAAGGATATCTTAAAGGGACATTTGGTGCTAGGCATTGAATTTGAGGCCTTGGCTTTCTTGCTAACTAGAATCATAGGCTGTTTTATTAACTTGCTCAAGGTCACATAAATAATAAACCTAGATCTTCCTTATAATTGTACCATTCTGTTAATATCTGTGAGCTTATATGTGAGGAAAAACAATCTCAGGAGGACAGAGAAATGAAAATATTGTCGGATGAAAAATATGTAGTTTTGGAAAGATAAAATTAAGTCTCTGAGAAAAGTTACTGCGCTAGATGAGAATCAGCTCTGTGAGTACACAATGACTCCCGAAGGTGCACTGAGAACCTTAGGTTCGGCGCAACTGACAGTGCCCCCTGCCTCAGGAACAGAGGGATCCTGTCAGCTGTGGGTGGGAATGCAGACAGAGGAAAGTTTACATGAACCTGGAAAGATGTGTTTTCTACTTGGAAAGTTTCAGCCTTCCACCAGATCTAGTGTTCCTTTGTTAATATTTGGATATTTGACCCATTTTGATTTTAGTTTAGTGCATGGATAAGGGTCTAGTTTTATTCCTCAGCATGTGGAAAGCCAGTTTCTCTAAAATAAGTAATCCTCTTTTTAGATAAAATTCTCTTTTATTGGAATTTTGAAAACTAACAAGGTATTTGCCAATATTAAGGAATTACTGTTAATTTTTTAACTATCTCATATGTGATTAAGTCATTACCTTTCAGAAATATGAGGTTATATAGTATCTAAGCATTGTTTTAGAATAATATGAAAGCAAGTAGATAAAGACTCAGATGGCATGACAGTTATCATAAATGTAAAATTTTTGCAGTTGCTGATGGGTTCCGTGCAAGCTACTGTACTGTTTGGGTTACTGTTTATGTGGTTCAATTGCTTTTAAATGTCTTCTGATAGATGCCGAGGTCCCATCCGGAACAAAAGTGAGGTTGTGGTTTTTTCTCCTTTCTATTAATAGACTGAAGACATTAAAGAGATCGCCCGAAAGACTCAAGCTCTGCCAAAGGTGAACCCAGGGCGGCCACGGGTCGTAGTCTTCACCCAAGGGAGAGAAGACACCATAATGGCGACAGGTACGTGTGGGAAATGTGTCGCAAGTCTGGGATTACAGAGATCCATCACTGACAACAGAATTCTAGGCTCTTTTATAATGTATTCATGGCAATGTTCCTTTACAGTTTTATTTTAACAAATATTCTTACCCTCTCATTGGAAAAGATTTCATTTTCAGAAATGATAATTTGTTAAAAATTCAATCAAGTAAAATCATTTTGCAACAGTTTGTCTCCTTTAATATTTTGGATATTTTGTCGGTCCCAAAATGTCTTTCCTTAACAAAAGAACACATTTTACTTATAAAATACTAAGAGGAGAGTTAAATAAACTTAGGAAATTATGAAAAATTAAATCCAGAAATGCTAGTTCCTTAGATTTTCCTTCAAGAAAACATAGCATCATTTCTGTTTTTATTCAGTTGTCCATTTTATAGGACTCATAGAAATGAGAATTTCATCTAGTGAAAAAATATGTTATTGGTTAAAATGATTACTGTCAGTATGATGCTACCCACTATTACAGTCAAAATATAAACCTTTTCATCTGAACCATCCAGACTGAAACCAGTTAATGATAATTATAAACAATAACAATTATTGCCTGGGTAATCAGTACTCAGTTGTACATTGAAATACAATATTTTATTCTTGAATATCTAATAGGAAGCCTGGCACTCCTGTATTTCCAGCACTCAGGAGGCTGCAGCAGGAGGATGGCTGGGAGCTCAAGGCCAGGCTAGGCTACACAGTGAGACCCTATCTCAAAAAGAAAAAAAAAATCTAGAAAATAAAGTTAATACCCTTACAATATGAGTATAAAGTATAATTATACTTCTTTATTGATATGAACTACATGGTTTATCGACTCACAAAAAACAAAGCAATAAAGTTTGAAGAAAAATATTATCGTGAATATGAAGTAAATTCTTAATGAATTAAATATGTAAAACCTGAAAAAGGTCAAAGATTAAGCTGCTGTCCAATGTGAGGGCAAAGGGACCCTAGAAACAGTTGACTGCAATTTTCTTATTGTAGAGTTGTCAAAGGCAAGATTCAGAGGTTTGATACAATGTATTTCAGTGAGTGAGGTGGGTATATCAGTGAAATGAGACTGGTCATGGGTTAACTGTTAAAACTGGCCACTAGAGATACCGTGGGGGAGGTTATGCTGTTAGGTCTACTTGTATTTGTTTCAAAAGAAAAAGGTATTTTTTTCAAGCAAGATTCAAAGATGGCAAGTGGCTTTCCCAAGACAGACAGATATCTTTTCTAAGCCTTGAATTCCAGGAGGGATTTAAAGCAAGGTGGGCAAATCAGTCAAAGAAGATCACATAAGCAAAGGCACCAAGTAGTACATAATCTTTTACTGTGACAGGAAAAGCCCTGTTGTTAATTTGTGTGAGAGAAAAGAAACAAAACCATGAAAAGAAATCACCATGTCAATAAACTCTCTGAGTTGTTGTCTGGTTGTCACATGTGTCCTACTCCTGTATTAGCAATGAACAATTTAGCAAAGGAAAACACATGCAGACTTTCTCCAGGCAGTAATACTACCTTCAGATTCAGAAAATGCTATGAAGCTGCTCTTTATGGAGACATTCATTTTAAGGCTGTCTTTATTCCAGATACACATATACAAATATCTTCCTCACTGGGAATTTGCATGATTTTCCCAAAATTGAAAATTAGCCTTCCCATCTCATGACTGAATTTCTTTCTAAACTTATTTTGTTCTTTAATAAATCCATTAAGCCATTCTTAAGAATGCCTACAATCAGGAATTTATTTGAGCAGAGACATTGGCTAATCTTTGCTGTTCCTACCATATGAAAATGAACTTAAATTAGAGGATGCACTATATCTGCAATGCATGATAAATACAAGATGGATAGAGAATCTGTTCCATGGTGTCAGCTACAAAAGCAAACATGATAAATGTTAATGCAGTTTTGAGCCCTGGGATAAGCTATTCAGTGCACAAGCATAGTTGAATCTCTTTGCTATGTTGTTATTCATGGCAGCCAAATAAATGTCAATAATAAAAGAGAATTAAAGATTTTCATTTCCCAGAGGCAGTCCTCTAATACGGCTTGATCTTTCATTTCATTTGTAATTCGTTCACATGTCAGGATGCAATCATTCGCCAGGCTCTGGGTGTCATGTTAAGTCATTTAATAATGATTAAGAACATAAAAATGCTTGGCCTGTGGGGCAATTCACAGAAGAGATGCCAATTTGTTATTGTTTTCCTTCCTTTCCTCTTGAATATGGATCAGCTTTTTCCCACCTCCTAGCATTAAAATACTAATGGAAGATAGGGAAGGGAAGTGTCCCTTAATTTACCACAAGTGACATTCCAGAGTGGCACAAGGCAGTGCTAGCACACTTATTAAAACACTAATTAGGAATCATTGTGCCATAAACCTCACATTGTAGAATATTTTTAAATGATCGCAGTGTTAAGTTTGCAGCATTTAGTGATAATGCTGACAAACTCCATTTCCTTCATTATTTTATTCTAGAGACCGATCTCCTTTTGTGATATGGTATCTATGAACTACTGTGTCTTACCGGTTCAGTTCTTTACATTCTTCTTTTAACTGCCTGTGGATCTTGTCTTTTCCACTCTTCTGATAATCTGTCTTTAGACTGAATCTCCATTTAGCCCCAAAGTTCTGTCACATATCAATCATGGGTTCCGTAGATATAGGCTAATTGAGTTCCAAAATTTTTTTGAAGAAGAACTGCACACTGGAGAATATTAAGAGAAACAGAGTGGACAGAGCCACTTCTGGTTATGTGTCAAAAGGAATTTTAAGTAGAAACTTGAATAGATGTATATGTGCCCGCTCACAGCAGCATTATTCACATATGTAAAAGGTGAACAGAGAGAATATTATTTTGTTTAAAAAGAAGATAATGCTGATTTATGCTATAGCATGCATGAACTTTAATAAAGACACTAGTAAATGAAGTAAGCCAGACACAAAGGAATAAATATTATATAATTCCACTTATGAGATATTTAAAATCGTCAAATTCATAAAAGCAGAAGCTAGAAAGGCTGTAGCTCAAGCCTGGGCAAGGAAGTTGAATGGGTGCAGTGCTTCACCTTTGCAAGATGAAAGCACCTGCAGAGATGTAGTTGCACTACAGTATGAAGTCACTCAGGGGCCCTGAGCCATACACTTACAAACTGTTAAAATGGTAAGTCTTGTGAGGTATGTTTTGTTACAATTTGAAACATAAGCGAATCAAGCAAATGAAAAATGTGAGAAGCTGTGGATGAAGGCAGAAAGAAAAAAAAAAGATGATTCTCTTCATCTTGATCCTTTTAATAAATGTTGAATGAACCCATTTAGTACCATGGGAACAAGGTCAAGGAAATCACTTCTGTGTTTAAAAGCTTTTAGAAAAACTAAGAGAAATAATGGTCTTCTGTCCTAGTGGACAGAAACTACTAATGAGGTCTTAATACCGCATTATGTTCAGGACTGTAGTAAAATGTATGTAGGCATAGACATACATAGTGCTTTCTAGAAAGTTAAAGTTTCTCCAAGTTTCATACTAAATCTATCAATAACAATTGGGGAAAGCCACAGAACTTTCTAAATTGAAAATAGCACATTTCACACAGTAGCCATTGTGAAACAATGAAACAGGTTGTGTTGGTTACTTTTCTCTCCTTGCTGGGACAAAATCCCAAACGCCCAAAACTAAGGAGGGAAAGGCTTGTTAAACTCAGTTTTTGGAGATTTCAGTCTATAATCAGCTGGCTCCAAGGCAGAGTGGCACATGGCAGAAGGACTACTGTTCATGGCAGGTGGAAGACAGCAAAAGCAACAAGAGCAAAAAGGAGAATGCAAGAGAAGACTCTTTATGCCCTTTATATTGTATGTAGGGAGGGTGTAACACACCCATAACCGCAGCTTTGGACCATGAATCAATCACAGATTCGAGAAGCCCATCCCCATGAGTGCATGAGGCTTTGGAGGGACATCCAGACAAACATAAACTCAGAATGAATTGTACACTTTTCTGAATACTTTTTTGCTGTATCTTTTCTTGGCCTGTTTGATTTATAACTTTGCACAAAAGAAAATATATTAGATCACAGGGATTTTTAACTGGAAGGCTACCACTGTCATATCAAAATTACCTGGCAAATTTTTGCTAAGAGCAATGCTGCTTCCCCACAAAATCTGCTTCCTCCCCATGAGCTGCAGTATTAGAACAGAAATGTATGAGGATGTTGGTGATAGGGAGTGAAGAAGGGAGTATAGAGTTGTGTACTTGTTTAAAAGCTTCTCTTAAATGATATGACAAAGCTGTCTGTCTGCCCTCACTTCTCACTTTGAGAATCATTCAGCTAGGTGATTTGGTAATATTGCCCAGGCTTATGATCCTATGGAATTACAGAAACAGCTAAACATTAGTAAGTCGGGCTTTGGTACATACTTCTCTTCGCTGATGCTTCTCTCTTCTGATCCATAAAAAAGGACCAAGAACTCCGTGACTCTTGTAGACAATCTACAGATTAAACCGTCTCCTGCTTGTGATATACATGAGATTCATGACAATCATATCATGGTGCATGGGTCATTTGACTATAACTCAGCAGTAACACTGAAGTTACTTGTTTCTATGTTTCTGAATCCTTAAAGAAACATTGTTACTTCATCTTCTAGTTAAGTTTTCATGTTCTGTGAAAATACTCAATGCTCTCCAATAGCCTGTGAGAAAAGGTCAATGTGATTTGCAATTCTGGTGAGCATAAAGCACAGAGAGTGTGGCCTAGAAAATGCAAACTCTCCAACAAAACAATCTCGCAATTGGAAGAATAATGTCAGCGCACCATTCCAACTCCTGCTGCTACAAAATATTAATATAAATCATTCTGAAAATGATGTCTCTACTGCAGCCAAACCTATTTTAAATGATGATCTTGTTGGCAGAGGCTGGTGGTCGTAAGGATAAAACAAGTTAAGTAGACATTTTAGATTGTCTGTGCATGGTAT